GGGTGGTTTCTCTCAAAATGGAAATAAGAGCGAGTACCCAATGAATTGATGATTACATATATACAAATTATAAACAATGGCACATGAAGCGTTATTGGCTCAGACAAGAACCCTTTTCTTTGAAACACCCGCGGCATGAATGAACAGAATGGATAAAAGTGGTGGGATTATTAGCTACGGAAAATCTCCCCAGTACAAATGAGCATTGAAGAAACAAAAATCATCGGCTCGTTCCCGTCTTCATACACATCGGTCGTGGCATCACGTCCCATCAGGGAGGTGAGCTTCAAACATAGAATGAGAAGCAGAAGCAGAAGGGATCAAGAGGGAAAAAAAAAAGAGGAGCTTGGTCAGCCCAACCCCAACAACGCCTCGCAACGGGGGGTATAAATGCAATCTGATTGGCGTTAAAGATAAAAATAAAAATAAAATAAAAATCAACGAAAAAAACATGGTGTCCGTCCATATGTGACAGGGGATTCGTAGTATCATTTCATTTCAAGACGTTAAAAAGTCGTGTCAAGTCGTCAAGAGGATGGTGCCGGGGCCGGATGTCATTACGGCTCACTGGCGCTAGGTGACGGTTTCGAGTTGGGGATGGTTAGAAGCGTTTGGGACCTTTGCCTTGTGTCAGGAGGCGAGGGAAGAGGTCCTTGAAGCGGTTGCATGCTGTTCTGTGTTACTAAAAGGGTTGCTTTTTTCGGGCGGAGCCCAGAGAGGAGGGTTGGGAGAGAGGAAGGTCTTACATTCTTCGCTGTGGAAAGATATTTCAAAAGCACCGGCATTGCCGCGTCTCTGCGTCTGCTGCCGGTAGTTCTGGCAGAAGACGTAGAGCTGGATGTCCGCCAGGCGGATTCTCCGCCGAGAGACTCGCTTCAGCCAGGTGGGAGACGACGATTGGTGGGTTACTGTGACACAAAGCATCGTTAGTGAGGCCTCGTTCGAAAAAATAAAGAATGATTTGCAGAGCAACCGGCCGGGTGGCGGTGCGGAGTTGGTTGCACGAACCGAATGCCGTCCATACGGGGCAGCTTCGCAGCTCCCCCTCCCAGACGGCCGCATGCAAGCGGATGCCGCCGGTCAGGACGTCCTTGTAGACGATCAAGGAGTGCCAGAAGCCGTCGTCGGATATTCTCCTAGAGCCAGATGTCAGAAAGGCAAAGGACACACTCAAGTAGAAATAGCAGGCACTGAGGCACGTACGCGTGGAACATCATGCGCTCACTGCCGAGGACGTAGTCCTCCGGAGGCATCTCGACAGTCATATCATTACGTGCTTTGAGCACTACAAACGCACAGAAGCTAAGGACAAGTTCTAAGGATCAACAGCCGTGTTAGTCGAGCAGCACAAGTTGAAGGGGGGGGGATGAGGAAGGGCAGGGTGTGAGAGTGTAAGTGCTGCTGCTCTCGAGTATTCACCTTCCCAGGTCACGAAGTTAAGGATCGCCCAGGTTTTGGCGCAGACATCCTTGCGGCTCCACCGCTTCAATACCAAGCAGCTGCCTTCTCGCTCGACGCATAATTCATGTGCACCACGACGAGAGAACCAGGCGCTTCCCGTTTCGGGGTCCAGTGCTCGAAGCAGGAGGTATGGTGATTGGTCATAGCCGTCCTCGAAGGCCGTGAGGCTTAGTCGGTCGTCGTTGAAGGTCCTGCCGATATTCATGTAAGTTCATAATGATCTCTCCCATGGTACGAAGTAGGGGGTAGTACCGGCGGAAGAGTATTCTCGAGTTCTCGGCAATCCAGAAAGAACCCCATAGCTGGTGCGGACCAGCTGATATCGACCTAAAAAAGCAACACAATTTAGGAGCCATTCTATATGATATGGTAGTCGGATGGGGCAAAGACGGAAGCATACTGTTGTTGGTTCCTCATAGCCGTCCGCGAAGGGAGGGGCAGGGAGAAGATCTGCTCGGCCCAATGCGTGACCTATTAGTAGTAGAGTTAGACTAACGGTTGCTTTTAGTACACAGAGATGAAAAAGGTAATGGCAATACCGGCTCAACTTCGAAGGACAGAACAGCAGAACGCATCTGCGGGCCGACATCGCCAGGAGGTGGAGCTGTATGGGTGGACGACGGTTATCCAATTGTCCAGATCAAAAAGATGGGGTGTACAGTTAGTTAAAACCTACGAATATTTCTTTTCTCGCGCAGCTGGAGGATTTTATGGCGAGCATTCTCAAGCCCGTTGAGATCGAAACTCGATGACCTATATTGAGAAGGGGGTTTGGTCTTAGACTTGTCGCCATTCACATGGGGGGGCTGATGATAGTCGCCAGGCCTAACCGGGCATGACTTGGCTCGACTCACCTGATCAAAACATCTCGAATGGACTTGAGAAAATAGTTGTATAGTGTGAATCGTTGCGGTAGAGGGAGGCCGTCGCTCTCGGCGGTGAGGTGGTGGTACATCTTCCGCCAGCGATTCTTCTTAGTGGCGGAGCGGTCCACGCAGTAGAAGATGATGTCCCGGAGCGACCTCGAGAGGCACGGCAGCAGGACGTTGAGGAAGTTGAGCAGGGTCGGCACCCGGTCTCGGTGAACCTGGGCGAAGTCGACCAGCTCCCGCAGGTGGCCGCCATTCGCGCGAATCTCCTCAATCGTGGCCGTCAAGTGCTGCGTGTTGCCCGTCACCCCACTCCGAAGCTTCTCGAGGTGGAAGACGATGGTGTCAGCCCTATCGGCCTCGAGACAGCAGCCGCTGAAGAGATGAAAGGCAACGGACCCGACGGGGTCCATTGCGGTATAGGGAATGACCTCCATTTCAGACCAAAAATAGACATCAGAGCCTCATGATGAAGCATGAGGCCCCGTGTCGTCTCTGGCTGCCGAGAGGGGGGAGAATCCGAGCTTGGTGTTGTGGTGATAGTCGGGAAGACTTCCTTCACCGAATAGTATCTAGCGGTCTCCCAAGGGGCCGGACCAAAAACTAGTTTGGGGACTTTGGGTGTTTGGTTCTTTTTCTTATTTTTTTAATTTTTTATTTTTTCCGGGCAGGGATTGGAGCCTCAAATCATGCTGTGTGCGGGGCCCGCCCTCGAAACCTCGAACTCGCAGACTCGAGAATGCGAGATGTTGATCGAGAGTATAGGAGCGGATGAGACGGGGAGGAGGGAGGAGGAGAGAGGCAAAAAAACAGGAAACCCCAATGGCATCACAAGCAAGCGTTGTAGCAGACCTCAGTACACGTCAATGGGCCCAGAAGGAGGAGGTGGTGTGTCTGACCATGTCTCGACGGGATAGATATGCAGAAAGGCAAAAAGTAAGCAAACAAGCCAGCGGATGGGGGAAAGATGGTTGAGGTGCAGAGTGGCAAGCTGGCGATGGGCCAATTTCTAATTATTCAAACCTCAATGAGGGGCTTGCGATAGTGCTAATTGGTGCACGTCAATGGCCTCATCCTCCAAGTGTGGCCCAAACAAAACATGGCTTCGGCCGGTTGGGCATCCATGTGCGATGCAATACATGAGCGATGGACAGGCAGATGCATGTCCGCCAGAGCGGGAGAATGGCCCAGCCCTCGCAATCAATCGATCAAGCCAGCCCGGATGCAGCAGGCCACCTGCTCGCCAGCGACGTCTAATGTCTCTGTGCCATTGCGGGTTGGGTTGCGAGCAGTGCTGTCTCCCCATCGGTATCATGACAATTCTCTGCTCGTGACCGATAGGATGGACGCATCCGTGCTGCTGGCCTGAGTCCGAGCCCTCTTAGGAGCTGCCACGAATGCAAGCCCCTCTCGACGCGCAGATGGCCCCAGACGTACAAATGCCCGGGGGGGGGCAATTGCATTAGAAGCAACGCAGCCCCAGAAACGACGGGGGACCGCCTCCGATCCCGTCTCAAGGTCGCTGGCAGGTTCCATGGCTGTCCCTACTGAGGGGGACCGCCAGATATAGTTCACCGCAACGCTGGTGGATGATACCCTGCCCGAGAGAGGCGTCTCCTCGTCTCCTCGTCTCCAACGTCTAGTCAGAGGTGATGGGTACCTCAGCGTAGGCAGGTAGATGCATCTATCAAATCACTCAGTAGCTTGAATGCCAGTCAATCAATCAACAAACATGTCCATATTCGATATGCTAGTACCCAGATATATCAAACAATGAGTGGCTGGCTGGCAGACAGATAGCGTTGCTCTCCGGCGAAACGTCTCGTCACCTGCGTTTCGTGTCTGCCGGTCTTCCTATCCGTGTGATACTCGAGATCGGGACACAGCCAATAAGACCCAAATCGATCGATGATGGAAGCGTGCATCGCATCGACTCCTTGACATATCGGTGAGCCGCATCCATGCCCGCCAAGCAGAAGTTGGTGGGCTGGAAGCGCACTTTGCATGTTCGAGTGTGACGGGCCTGGATGGTTCATGATGAGGAGAAGCTCAAGTTGTTCATGTTTTCGCCTTCATCCTTATCAGAACACTGGAGAGGCATTACCTAAGGCTACGGCAAGGCATTTTTTTTGGTGAAACAGCATTACTACTTAGGCAGCAGCATCTGTGTCTGTCAGCCCTGTGCGGCCAAGTCCAGACAAGGATGTACGATGGATGAAAACGATCACCCAACCGGAGCCGATGAGGGTAGATGGGATTGGCTAGAGCCAGCGGCCGTCGCCATCACAATGCGAGCAGGTGGGCACTTGTTGTTGGAGTTAATACTTTTACATGTTTCTCGTCTTGACTATCTCGAATCGTGTCATATATCCATGATCAGAGGCTCACGGGAACAAGCCTGCTCAGTGACTGCTTGCAACTCCATCGGACGCCATCCTCTCATTCAGGACACGTCGCGAGTCCCCCGATGCCTTTTGGAAGACCAATGTCTGAAAAGCATCAAGGTTAAAAAAAAATTGAACCAAATCAAAGCACGCGTCCCTTCCTGTGCCAGCATACAACACCGCCCTGCCCAAATTACAAGAGGAATATAGATGACCCTCTCCGGCGAGCTCTACCGGAATATCATTTCATGTCAAGGGTCAAATGGTTAAAAAATGAACAGTCCTCCTAAGCGGATTCCTCGTCATCCGCAGCCTACAAACAACTCATCAGCTTCAATCGTCAACTTCAACATCTCGCGAGTCTCTCATACGTTGTAAGCCTGCTTCTCATCCTCGTAGCGCTTCTTGTCGGCAGCAGCCTTGGCCTCATATGGGGCACGCTGCTTGTCGTTGAGGGCCTTCCAGCGCTCACCGAGAAGCTTGCCGACCTGACCGAAGGAAATGCCAGGGTTCTCCTCACGGACATTCTCACGCTGCTCATTGGCGAAGAACATGTAGGCAGAGAGACCACGCTTGGGAGCGTTGGGGTCTGAGGCCAGTTAGCTTTGTCATGGTAGAGGTAGATGAAATCAGACTTACCCTTCTTGCCTCGCTTCTTGACCTCCTTGCCACCGCGCTTAGTTGTAGCAGCCTTAGGCATTGTGAAAGTGTCTAAGTTGAGATAACATGTTAGCCAAATGTTGATGTTGGGAAAATAGTGAATTTCAATGATGTGGTCAAAAATGAATTTTTGGAATGTGGATTTTGCGAGGCTGTCGCGAAATCCTCCTTTCGCCGTTGAGATCCTAGGCTAGCGTGTCATGGGTGACGCGCTGGGCCTGGAGTGCTTGGAGGGGCGACGCGCGACGAAATTGAATGTGATGCGGTAGTGAGGGTGAGGAGGTGAGGGAGGGCGCAAAGGGAATTGCGCGACAGCCACTGCCGCAAATGGGACATGAAGCTCAGAAAGTGCCTGGTAAACACATCTCGCGTACCTTGGAAGACTTGAAAAAGGTTTCTAAAGTGGTGGTGTTGAGGGAGGATGAAAGGTCTGAGCAACGATTAGCAAGCTGCTATCAATGATGCTGCGCGCGCATGAGGTTGTTGGTGCAGGTCCTAGTGCAAGGTGCGCTGCACTTGAACAACGATGAAGTGAAGGTCAACCACGAAGATAAATGCAAGACTCAAGACTGGATTGAGACGCAAAAATGCTTCATGAAGCTTCCAACGATGCGAAATCAAGACGAAAAGCGCATGCGCAGAATCGCATTCACTCAATGAATTTGATAAAGCAGTGCTGGTGATAGTGACTTGTGTTTGGTGGTGGTGCACCGCAAAATGCAAGTACTCACCTGTTGTGCGCGTTGTGTTGCTGTGAAGACGCGAATTTGTATGGGAGAATTTGGCGGGAGAATTTGTATGGGAGAGAGGAGAGGCAGAGGGGGAGACTGTATGGGGGGAGGGCCAAGGAGCCTTTTTACTATGGGGGAGTGATTGTGCGTGTGTCAGGCGCAGGCTTAGGTGTGTGTGTAAGGCAAGGCCAGCCTGTGTGTGTGTGTGTGTGAGTGCGTGTGTGTGGGTGGAGGGAACACGCACCGGGCGGCCTGCCTTTGCCTTTGGCGCTCCCTCCCTCCAGTCACTCACCCACTCTGGGAGTAGGCAGGTACCTGCCCAGCCGACTGCGTGCCAGGTACTCGTACTCACCTCGCTGCTGCTTGCGGAGTGGGCTTCCATTCCCTGCCCAAGCACTCTGCGCGCGCAAGCTTGGTCTGGGCTTGTAGCATCGAGACTTGGTTTTACTGTGCAGTCCCTGCTCCGGGCAGGTACCTCTCATCAAACCCCCTCGAGAGCTCTCCACCACCCGCGTAGCGGTACCTCTCCCAGCCAAACCACCCAGTACTTGCACCTCTAGTACTCCGCCTGGCTCTTGGAAATATATTATCTGCCCTGCTCCAAGAGGCAACATAAATGGATCAGCTAGGTCCTCCTAGCAGGAATTCTCCTCTCTTCTCAGCCGACGCCCTTGCTTTTTCCAGATGCCCCCTTTCCTTAGGACCTCCCCGTTGAGGCTTCACATGCGAGCGAGAGTTGAGGAAATGATGCGCATTTCCCGCCATCACCTCCGGTGCTGCCTGTGCCATTGGACCTCCATGGTGTTTCTCTCAGCTGGAACAGTCGCTTCTCCCTTCCCTACCCAAACCTTACACTTACCAAGCCAGACAGCAAATGGCAGGTACATCCGTAGTGCAGACAGGCGCGGTGGTATTCCTCCTGCCGCACTGTACGCGCCTGCCTGATACTAGCACTATTTGGACCCTGGGTGCAGTGGTGAGAGTGTCGCACCTTTCAAATGGAATTACACAATACTGTACTGGTACACAAGCGGTAGTCTTAGTCTCACTCATCCACAGCCTGATCCACATGTACCTCTGATGGTGAGCTCCATGTGCGCACTGTACCGCCTCTGGAGAGGGATCCTTTCTTCTCATACACCTCACTCCCCTGTCCAGCCCATTGAGCCAGGAAAGGGCTCTGCCTGCGCTGAGCTCGTCGCCGCCAAACTCAGGCCCCGTTGCTAAATCCGTCGCCTGGCCACCCAACCCTTCGACTCAACTCATCTGAGTCTCGTCTCAATTCAGTCGCTCCTAGTGCTGGTGCCGGGCTTTTCTGCACCTTGAATGTCCGTTGAGCGACATGAATAAGCTTTGCGTTTGTAAATACCATCCGCCCATGCACCCAGAGCGAGTGCTTGAACCCAAGGAGTTAGCCGTGGTATCATGCACCTTGCATCTGCCTGCCTACGGTAGGCAAACTGAAACCCTTCCGAGTGCGATAGTAAAAAGGTATTCCAAGGATTCAAGAATAGCACATTAATCACACATAATGTGATTATTCTTAGACCTACAACTCACAAGATCACTCCGACGCAAGCCCAGCCAGAGGCGCTCGCAACCCTGCACGCAGTCTACATGTAATGTAGTGTTGCGGTGGCGCATATCACTCTGTACTGAGAAAGGTTGGGCCTACCTCGATACCACCTACTAGTGTTATTCTTGCCTTTACACCCAGAGGTCTGCACCAGAAGTACAGCCTCTAGCTTACACCGGGGCCTCATACCTAAGGTACTGAGACGTCACATCACCAAGCGTTGATGTGCAGTAGTCATGCATAAAACTTCCATGCAATTACAGTTGATGTTGGAGCGGTAAGTATGCACGGAGATGGAACAGTCATTCGTGAGCTCTCTCCCTCGGTCTCATCGGAAGGATATTGGCCAAGCAAGGACTCAGTTATGCCGAGATATCACACACTCTGCACCCCTCTCCAGCCATCAACACTAGCGGTACCTCTGCCACCTCCGACTAGCTATGTACCTACAGCTGCACAGCGGTTCACACCCAAATAAGAAAAGATGTAAGGGATTCCACATGCGTGTGCAAATAGGAAAATGAGGGACGCAAGCCGCACTACTCGTTTAGTTTCAGACAAGTACCTCCGGCGTGGCACTCCAATAAGGCCTCCAATCAGTCTCAGTTGGCCCATAATTAGAACCCAAGGTCAGTAAGGGCTCGAAGCCATCAGGGGGGGAGAGATCACCCAAGTGATGGGAAATACACACTCAACCTTGAAGCTCTCAGGTGCGGCAAGCTTTCCAGCGGTCTCATAAGCGGGGTACTTCGATCCGTGCATGACGCCTTGTACCGTCATACATCTTTTCCCATGTACCGATACTTGGCCGCTTGTATCGGACCTTCCTGGGCCAAGTCGCAAGCAGCTTGCCCGGGTAGGCCCTTCCAGGTTCCGACACTTCAGCCAGCCAGCCAACCCCCTTCTTTTCCAGTCTTCCGCAGACTTGCCGTGCTATGGAGGAGAAGGCCCGCACATGTGCGACGAGGCGCTCAGCAGATGCAAACGAGGCAGCTCAACGCAGTCGGCGATAACTGAGGCGCGATAATGCAGCGCAACTAGCCATCCAACTGCTCGCCTCGTAGACTCGTCCGAAGTGACCTACGCAGAGCAAGCTGAGCCTCATTTCAGTCAATCAACGGCTACCATTACTCCTTCTGCCATTTAGACAATGTATTTTACTTCATTAGATCAACTGCCCAGGCTGAGCACATCCTCCGACAGCATGACCAAGGGAACACGGGCCTGCCTACTACCTTCGGTTGTTCAGCAATGTGCCCTGGTTAGCCACCCCTTGAAAGCACATCGCACCGAGTCTCATTGGCACCCACCCGGTTACTAGCCACACAGGTAGGTGTTCACTCAAATGTCTCGTCTCCCTTTGTTATTCGCGAGTATGGGCCAAAAGCGGGCAGTCTAGATCTCTGCTATTATTACTGCTATGGAGTCGCACCATGGGCAAGGACATCAGAGACAGCTTGCTGAGTGGGTACAGAACCGCCCATTGGAAATTGGTGGACACACATGTACCCGACTGGTACTACGCGCAAGGAGCTTTACGAGGAGCTTTCCCTCCTCGAATGTTAGCTCGGTGGCCCGTACCACATTTTGCCTTGACCAAAGCGGTCACTATGACCTGCTGCTAGCACCGGATGCAAGCATAGCATGGTACCAAGGTACTAGGCTGGAGGTCAGGTAGCAGCAGCATGTATCACTAGCAGCTTATACTGTGCTGAACCCTGTTGCGCGTGCTTGGAGCAGAGGAGAGTGATGGGTGGTGGCTCTCTGGGCGGGTCCACGCAGCAACAAAACTTCGCCGGTATGCCTTCCCCCTCGCATAGCTCTCTGCTACCGGAGCAATCCTACTCCAGCCTTCATGTCAGAAACCAGGTACCTGCGCAGTCAGGATCACAATTGGCCAGGGAAGCACACGTTTTCTGCCCCTGGCTCATCTTCTCCTACACGCTAATTATGGGACTCTTGGAAATCGGCTGTGTCTGGAACCCTCGGGCTGGCATTTTGGTAAGACGCTTGTTGAGGAGTCCGTCCCTTCATGAGTGATATTCGAGGCGCGTAATCACCCGGGTGTCCAGTTTGCGCCAGCCTCCAACACGCCTCTGTACCTGTCTCCTGCACACCCAGCATGTACCTCAGCCCTCATGTGGGAAAATAGTACTACCTACTAATGTAAGAGCGGTAGTAGTGGTAGGTGGTCATAGCACCCTTCGACCTCGGTCAACCAGATCATTAGGTGTCTCCCAGCCAAGGTATTATCAGCGCCTTTACCAGACCCACGTCAATGGTTGAAGGCCCAAAAAGGGAAGTGCAAAAAAAATGAGAGAGCAGTCCTATTCTGGCATCTGTCTTGGCCGTACTGATTGTCCTGCTGATCCGACCTACCCCTCCTCGCGCCCAGTGAGCATGGCACATGGGTCGCCCGCCTCTCCTCTGCTCGCCTCCCTCCCTCCTTCACTACTGCTGGCTGCGCCGTGCTACCTCAGTACGTAGATACCTAGGTAGGTACTGGTCTATCGCATATTCGCAAATTCATCGTCCACACACGCGGTGTGCGCTTTAGTCGGTAGCTCTCCAGTTGATATCATTGCCGTGCCAATGGGCAATGGCATGATTTCTATTGTGCCTGACGTGATTATGCCATGTCGATATCGCCTGTGACGCAGTCTCATCGCCGCCCACCTCATCCATTAGTCGTCGTCTTCCGGGTCGAGGACGATATCTCTTAGACGGTCATCTCGCGCCCAGTCTATTCCACTGCCTACAATGAGACCACTCGTAACTCCCTTGATGACCCTCCAGCGGCGTCTACTTGCTGCTAGAGCACCCTCGAATTCACGTAGAGCCTCTTGAGCGGCAGAATCGTCCTGCTGGCCTTTCTTCTCGTCGATTCTAGCGACCAGTTCCAGCAGCTTGCTCGCGAGCTCGGCATTGTGCCCTGCCCTCGCCAGGAGCTTGCTCTGAGCCTTTGTTGCCTTGTCGCGGAGCTCGCCTCTCTCTAATGCAAACTTGGCGACCGCAATTGAGGCCTCGTCACGCTTCTCTACGTATGAGAGAAGATCCCTGTGGTGTCGGTATTAGCAGAGCCGCTTGTAGGGAGCGCATCCAAATAGTAAGGTGCAGTGCGCGTGTGCAGCCACGTACCGTTCCACCGGTGAAGCATCGGTACCGTTATGGACGGCTTTGAGAATTGGGTTTGCTGAGAGAACTGCCTCGACCACCGAGTTCCTGAGCATGTATCGCGCTCTGGTGTCCAGTAGCTGATTGCGGGCTTCGTCGGTCTCTTCTGCCGTCATCTCGCCACTTGACGCGTCTGTTTCAGTCATGAGCATGTTTTCCTGCCTTGTAGTCCTCCGGGCCATGATAAACCCACCATCCTGAGCTTTGTGCTGCGCGTTGATTATGGCAATCTCAAGTTGGAGCTCGCGGAGCTTGTCGTAGAGCGCCAGCGCCCTCTCCTCGTCGGCAGACAGCGGCAGGGGGGCTTGGTTGACCTCGCCTTCTAGCACGGTTGCCATGGTGTATCCGTTTCTGGGTTGGGTGTTCGTGGGGAGGACTGCGATATGGACGCCGGTGTGGTGTAAGATGGTTTCGACTATCCCTGAAGACGCGACACTATGCACGCGCTACTGCTTTTTTGGGTCTCCCAGTCGTTCGACGGCGCAGAGACATGCCAGTAGCAACGTTGAGAGAAAACCACGGATCAGACTTTGAAAGTACTGAATAAAGCTACAATCTCGTATCTACGATGTGCAGCGTTGTTTTACTTTTACTATTATTTTTTCCATCTTGCGGGCTCTTTGTTCGCAAATTGGTCGCCAGACCTTACCATCGCAGCCACACGCGGAGCCACACTCGTCGTTCGGTTAGTCAACGCTCTTCCTATCATTCCTGGGATGGCTACCTGGCTGCTCATGTGTGTTGAGGTCTACGGCTCCGTGCCGCTGACCCGTCTATGGGTTCGGTACAGCCCTGTGATCTGTTTTGAGCGGGTCGAAGTCCTCTCTCCAGTTTGTAGAATACCGTGGCCAATAAGCATACAGGGGAGTCTGTCCGCATGTTGAAGTGCCATGAATCTCCCGGTCCTGGTGGCATATAATATTGTCCACTTGCGATATAGCTCGGATCCATTCCAACAGCTATTGCCGCCTGGTTCAGTGGCCATGATCCTATTTTGATCATGTAGCACAGGAAACTCACTTCCGCGGTCGAGTGATAAGGCTATCGTCTGCCTAGGTGATCTCCTGTAGGCATCGTAGATAGGTGATCCGCGGTAGGGACAGCCATGTCCTATACTCTGGTCCCATATTCCTTTATCTACTACACACGGGTAAGGTATGTTTCACGCCTTCTTGCACGATCCGAGTCCCTAGATGGTGCCATCTCCACACCTTGACTTCGAAAGCCAAGCCAGATCAGATGACTACCTCATATGCGTGCATCATACACCATGACCGAGATAAGGCAGGATTACTCTACGCCAAAGGACGCAGACTATACCACAGTAAAAATAGTAACCCACCGAACGAGAGACAGATGTGCTATTCAACATAGAGTGGTGTTTTCGTTGAGAAGTATAGGGTAGGGGACTGGTGGAAGTATTCACGCAAGGAAATGTTAAGTGCTGCTTATCAGGCTGGTTCAAACTATCACTGCATTTGCAGTAAAGTTAAGAGTCTATAAACAAAGGGAGAAGCTACAGAAACGTACCGTCACCACCCAAACAATCCGGATCTGATATGCGGAACATTCGATTGAAAGGTGAAGGTGCTCTTAGTGATGTTTGATGATGACAACCTGACACGGACCCGCACATTAAGTCATGGCGCCACAAGCCACAGTCCCTATCGATAAGGTACGTATCATTAGGTAGCCAGTGACTCGCCTCAGCCGACGCAAGGCTTAACCACGATAGACCTCGAACCCAGAGGAGAGGAGAGCGTCGGTCACGCGAGGTTTGCAGACGACCGTATAACCCGGCCTCGCATAGATAAACAATAAATAGCTCCACCGGACCCCCCTCCTGCCCTATCCCCCATAGAACTGCCTACTTGCATGTCCCCTCGCTGAGCTCGGCGCGCTCTATTATCACGGGCGATGTCTCGGGATGGCTACCCAGGTGTTGATTGCTCATACGGGCCAGCGCCTTGAAGTCGACGTATCCCAGTTCTCGAGGTAAGTTTGCGCACCAAGCCCCCAACGCGAATGCGCTTCTAAACAGAGTCACACAGCCTCGAAGACCTGAAGGCATGGGTCGGGCAGCATAGTCCTGTCTCCCCGCAGCACTTCATCGCGCTGACCCCTCAAGGTCGCAGTATCAAGTATGCAACCTTGACGAACGAAGTATGGGAACCCGGGTGTGGTGACTGCCCCCGCTCAAAGTGCACCGGCTGACAAGAAACGCAACAGACAGAAATATTTGTCTACGATAATCGGACAACCCAAAGCTCATCGAAAGAGAATGCGCAATCGATCGCCTCCCAACACGCTCTCCCCAGACGTTACACCATCCCCAGCGCACCAAATTCCATCGAGGATGCGAAAGCCATCGGATCATGGCAGACGCTGTACAAGGACAGAAGAGCCTGGGCAGTCGGGTTGCTCGAGGAATGCACAAAGATGAGGAATCTTGCCCAGGACCAGTATGGCGAGATTGACGTCATGATCAAGTGCCTGGACGCGGCAGTTGCAAACCTGGAGCTAAGCGTCAAGCAGCTGGAGCCCAAGTACAAAGAACTGAAGAAATGGGTGGAGCCAGCGGTGGCCGACCATGATCGGTTGGTGTCATCGCTGCAGGAGAACCTGGCTCTCGCTAGAGACACGCATGTTTCTGCGTCTATTGTCAAGTTCATGACGCGCGGGCAGGTCAATAAGGGCAGCCCGACGCTTGAAGACCTCATCGAGACTGAGACGGTGAAGAAGGCAGCGAAGCTTGCCCCAACCGCGCATCGAAGATTCAGTGACAAGGCCACCAGCCTTGAGCAGGCCGCAATCCAGATGTATCAAGGCCTCGAACAACTGATCGGTGATTTCGAAAAGTTGGTAGGCCGGTCCGTTATTGGAAATAGCCAAGTCTCGATCGATCTTCTCGAGGATATCGAGTCCTCAGTCAAGCAGATTGATTCTGACTACAGGACTGCACTGAGTCTCGGGAATTCACACCGGGACCTCACACAGGTTTCCAAAACGGCCTCCAACCACACAGAGCGGTTGGTTCCGAACCTAAAGAAGCGCGTCAAGGAAATGGACGATCATTTGCGGTATGTCGCCCAGAATCGAAATACTATCGCCATCGAATCTGTCGAGCTCATGCAAGCCATCACCAAAATCACATCCCTTCGCACGAGCGTGAAAGACCACATTAACATCCTAAACCAATCCGAAGACGACATGACTACATTTGACTACCTGCGTCTCATCCAGCAACTCCCATACATGTATGCCTCTTTCATGGTGGAGGCGATACGACGTCGCGAATGGAATGATAAGATCAAATATGACTCATCGACATTGGCCAATGAAATGGCCCTTTTCCAGGACGAAGAATCCAAGAGACGTAGGAAATGGCAAAAGATGGTTGGCAGTACTTATGGTCCAAGCTTCGAGGCGAATGTGATAGGCTTGGAAGTCAGCATATTGGGAGAGGACCACTCATGGCCGTCGGCTCAGAAAGAGGAACTGGATGAGTTTTTGGACTCTCTACGGTCACAAACAGTTGATGAGGCCTTGCTCTCAGATATCGACCAGCTCCTTCAGCAGCTTAATAGCCCGACAAGGCAGCAAACGAAACGACTAAAGGCATTCAAAAACGGCAGCATGCATGAGGCTGCCTTGGGCCGGAGCGGGCTGATGATCCGGGGCGATGATGATCTTCTGAGATCTCTCCAAGATGATAAGTCGAAGCTGGAGAACAAGCTCAAGACGGCGGAAAGTAGGGTCAGGCGCCTCGAGGACTTGCTTCATAGACAAACCCACGTTTCTCGACCCGGAAATCTGTTTCAGGCTCAGGTTGCACCATCTCATGAACGAACTGGTTCTACCTCATCCATTAAATCAAACCGCCCAGAAGACCGCCGATCGTCAGATGGCTCGGAGGCTCTGATGCGGAAGATAACCCAGCTGGAGAATGAGCTTCGAGAGGAGAAGGAAAGATCATCTCGTATACAGCAGGATTTGAGCAACCGTGCAACGCAACATGACGATATGAAGGACCAGATACAAGAGGTCAACTTGACCAAGAAGGATCTTCTCAAGAATATGGAAGCTCTAGAACGCGACTTTGTTGAAGAGAGGAAGTCCCTTGAGGGCGATATCAGAGCCCTGAAAGCGCGCCTCGAAGACGCTGAAGATGAGATAGAACACTTTGGGGACTCCCGCATGAAGGACAAGGCGCTATATGATGAGCGTGTCCAGGAACTTGAGACGGAGATTGACCGCATCGGCAGGGAGCGCAACGATGAGTCGCTCAAAGCCCAAGGGCAGGTTGACTTCCTTCGAACCGAGGCACGGATGCAGAGAGAGCAGCGTGACGCATTGGAAACCCAGCTTCAATCAGCACAGGAAGATGTCCGGGATGCACACAAAAAGGTTCAAGCCTCCGAAGAAGTTGCAATGAACTATTTGGAGTCTCTCCAGAAGGTCTATTCTGTCCTGGCACCGGATGTCTCAATTCCAGACGAAGCCACCGACTTGACGGACTCAGTTCAGACCTTTGTAACGGATCTTTTGGCGAAGCTCCAGAACTTGGAGTCCGATACGGAGCTGCTCAAGTCTGACTTAGATCGAGCTTTGAACACGGTCAAAATTGCGAAAGCCGACCTTGCCGAGGCCAAGGACAAGCTGTCAACGGAAGAAGCAGCCAGCATCCACCTTCGAGAGAACTCGTCTGAGGAGAAGGCTAAGGTTGATGTCCTGGAGCGTGAGCTAACCGAAGCGAAGGAGGAGCTGAGCAGCTTACGGTCTCGCTTATCTGACGGCGAGACCGGTTCAGAAACCCTCAGGAAAAAGCTCGACGAAGAGGAAAAGAAGGTTGTCAATCTCACCAAAGATATCGCTTCTCGACAATCTCAAGTTGGTGGTTTGGAGGAAGAACTCCACTTATACAAGGAGAAGTTGGATTCAGAACATGAGAAATTGGCCAAGCTCTCCTCACTTTACGAGAGCCGGGATGAACGGTCCAAAGACCTTACACAGCGCCTGTATTCCCAAAATGACCGAATTTGCCATCTTCTGGAGAGAATTGGTTACTCGGTAACCCGCCAGGACGGCGAGATTGCAATCAACAAGATTCCTCGCGCAGAGAGGACTCCCCCGAACGCGAACGACTCTTCCGACCCGAGCAACTCGATTCGGAAATCTACAACCTTGGGCGCTCGGGCATTGCATGACAGCGGGGATCTGGACCTCCTGTATTGGACAAACAATGATGATGCTTCCAAGGAGGCCGATAATTACCAGGCCTTTATCAATAAGCTTGGGGATTTCAATGTTGACCTCTTCTCAGAGACTGTCTATCATAGAATCCGGGAGGTAGAGCACAAGGCCAAAAAGTGGCAACGTGATGTACGGTCTTATAGGGAAAGGGCACACCAGCTGCAAAGAGACTCGCATGAAAAGATTGCATTCAAACACTTCAAGGAAGGCGATCTAGCACTCTTCCTACCGACCCGAAATCAACAGGCTGGTGCTTGGGCGGCATTCAATGTGGGGTTCCCGCACTACTTTCTCCGCGAGCAAGACGCTCATCGTCTTCGCCAACGAGAGTGGCTCGTTGCACGAATCACTCGCATTGAGCAGCGTGTTGTTGACTTATCCAAGAGTCTTCAGCCTGGGAACGAGGCTGGTACGGCAAATGGTGAAGAGAATGATAATCCCTTCCAGCTATCAGACGGGCTCCGCTGGTATCTAATTGATGCGCAAGAGGATAAGCCAGGGGCACCAGCCACACCTGGCATGGGTAAGTCGACAGTTGCCTCGAATAACGTTGAGGCAGTGGCCAATATTCATACTCGCGCAGCTGGTGCGAAGGGCAAGAACAGAGATAGTGTTGCGAGCATCGAGGGCATTAATAAGACGCTTTCTAAGAGTCTAGAGAGCCGTCGGAGTAGCTCGAGCTCTAAACGGGCACATCCGCTCCTGAAAACCAACGCGGTGGCAAGCGAGACGAACTCTCTTCGCGCAGGTGCGGTCGAAACACCGGTTGCTACGAGTCCACTGCAGGGAGGAGTTCTGTCAGCGGCGGATTTCGACAGGTCCAAGGCCACAGCCTCTGCGAGCCTATCCAGGTCACCAGAGCGTGGCAGAGCCGCTCGGGAAAACCCAGGCCCAGCGCAACGAGGCGGACCACCAGAACAAGAGGCTGCCCCGTCGACCCCCGAGGTACGCAAACTTGACGCCTTGCTCGGCCCATAGGGACATAAATGCTGATTTTGGTACGGCGCGATTAGCCACAGAGGACACTTTTGCGACAGGAGTCAACGGGCAGCCCAGCAAAAGGGTCCGTGGTGTGGGATGCGTTATGGAGCGTGGATTATTCTTATGGAAGCCCAACGAAAAAGTAAGATGTTGTCCGAACTATTTCTTGTGGGGGGTTAGGCAAGCGAAATTGTAGAATGGTATTTTATTAGGGACATACATCTGTGTTTAGGTTGCCGGCGTTTGGTTGGATCTTTTCGGGCATAGAAGCGTCTGGAGTAACTGCGGAGACAATGCTATCATAGGTATCTTGCGTTCTGGTCTTCTCTTGGCCTGCTCTTAAACTGCCCCGGTGAATTTTTGGGGATTTATCACGGTGGGTAGAAATGCGCTGCCAGCTGCCAGGAACAAGACCAGCTGTTTTCAAGCTTTGCTAGTTACCTACACATAGAAGCGTTGTATTCTGGACCGAAAACGAAAGGAAGTTCCCATTGCGGTTTCATCGAATCTCTAGGGTAGGCCGTTTATGGGGAGAATATACTGCAAAGTTCTCGATGCCTATTCCATTAGTGTCTATTTGATAATTAATGCCAGGAGCACCGGAATTTGCTGGCGGCTTGTTGAGCGACATTAACCCCGTATTATTGGGACCCGATCCCGAGGTTGCTTTGAAAGTCTCCTCAATCAGCCATCCAATCATCGCTTCCAATCCCTTCCAATGATGTGAGCGCAACCTCTTCATTAGCCATGGAGTCTTCCTCCGATCGACAAACCACTGCGGCCAAGCAGCCCAGACTGCCCCCAGAGCTGCTTCACCATGTGGTTGAGTCGGTACTGCCCTCGAACACGCGGGCCCTGATCCCTACAACACACCCATCTACCAAAACGCTGCTTGCCTTGACAAGGGTCTCGCGCGTCACCTATCTTGTCGCGTCGAAGCTCCTTCGGCAGCGATGTCTCTACATCGACTCCAGCCGCCGGCTGAGTGACATGCTACTGTGTATGGACCGGTTCGTGCCGCGGCTCCCCCCAACGCTGTCGCTGCGATGCATCACGTCGCTTTACCTGGCGCCCTTCCCCGCATCGTCGCTCGATGACCAGCCCACGGCCATCTGGGTGCGAGAGCTGTTTTGCGAGGTCTGCGAGACGCTGCGGCGGCTGGTGGTCGACATGCCGTTCGAGACCCTCGACCCCCTGGACGACCACCTCAACGTGAGGCGCACGCTGCGGGAGGGCTTCGAGCAGCTCGGCAAGCTGGAGGAGTTTGCCTGCCTGGGCCAGTACCCCGCCCTGAGCGTGCCGGACGCGCACACGGACGTGTGGAGGCTCTGGCCGGACCTCAGGCGGCTGGTGCTATTCAACGTCCCCGCGGACAGCCACTGGCTGTGGTGGGACGTCGCCACGCTGCCGAAGCTCGGCCACGTCGTGCTGGCGAGGCCGCGGCGGCTGGAGACGGTCAACATCAAGGACGAGTACTTCCACAAGCTGCCCCGGGACGACGCCCGGCTGGAGCGGGAGATCAAGATTGTGCTCATGGACACGGCCGAGGACCTCCCGCCCGTGACGTGCGCGAGGTGGGAGGAGATTGACCCGAGGGGGAGGATGACGGTCGAGCAGATCCATGTGCCGACGTCATTCTACGGGGATGAGACGGCGAGCATGCTCGTGACGGCCTGGGTGCGGCGAGGAGCCTTGGAGGGGACAATATGGGAGTGGTCTGGGGAGCGGATTGGCAAGGTACCGGCACGTTCGGCGCCAGCCTCGGCGTGAATGACAGGGAAGGGCGATAACTACGGATGACAGGATGGCTTCTTAATATTTTGTTTTTTTTGGTCTTGTTTTCTATCATCTTCTCCTTTGCCAGCAATCTTGAAGGCCAGAGTAGTAATAAAGAGCCACAGTCATTCAGTTGATACCATTTATTTTATCAAATCTCGGCTTGAGTGAGAAACAGGATATATCTGGGTGGTGCTTTTTTCCTGGTCTCATGACAACACTTTTCGATTATGATTGATTTAATCTGGCGTGATATCCTGGCATCGTTCGGCTGCTCTTGTGATGACAAGATCCACCATGGAGGGCTGCGAGCTTGACTTAAGGCTTGGACATACATAAGATGCTTCGAATTGTGGTGGCATAGACGCGGCTGTGCTAGTTTTAACCCACCACATCGGTCATTACAACTCGTGCTATGCCATTGGTAACCCCGTCCCCAGTGCACCGTTGCGTTGGGCTAGTTGCATTCTCGAAGACTTCTATTCCTAATTACCCTGGACGAGAAGGTTAGTTCGAAGATTACGTACTACAGACTTAGCACAACCGCTTTGGCAGGTGGAAACGGTAGTGGGATTTCTGGGCCGAGTACGGCGTACCCTGGACCAATCCTAACTCGAACGAGACTTCGGGAATGGAGCGCGCATGTCCGCGCCCACGCATCGACCTTCGGTCTGTCGTTGGCAACGCTGGAGTTCGAGTCTGACCTGGCCAGCCCTTCTGCACTCCACTTCACTCCTCGGCTCTTCTCCAGACCAACCGACAGAAATAGGACGGGGCCCCGTCGTTGATTAATCCATCTGGCCAGTGCCGCTCCCACAATCGACCTCCCAATCCGAATTACCTAGTCTCACCTTCTCTCCGCAATCCACGACCAGACCAACGCCTTGAGCACCATAAGCCCTCGCCCGCCCGCCTTCTCCTGTGTTGCCCTACAGCCACGTCCGACAACGACCGGTGACGACCGCAATTTTCTCCAACCTTGCGCTCGCCCCGTCTCACCTCATTCGACCCTTCTGTGAACTGGCTGACCAACTTCACTGATATCTGCGATGTCGCTCCAGATATAGCTCAATTCAGACATCCCTACCCACACCCCGTGGTGCGCAAGCCCGAGTTTTCGCAACGACGATCCGCTCGAGGAAGATATGCTACGCCAGCTACTGTAACGAGTCGCCCTGCTCCTTCTTCAATACCATTTCCCCACCACCCTTGAACCTCCTTTATCCCCCTACTCTCGAAATCCCGTGTTTCCGAACTTGCCACCCCCACCACTCCGTCCGTCCCCCGAAACCTCCGAACACGACGGGGACCGGAAGCAGGCTATATCTGCAGCCTAAAAAAACGCAACTATGCAGAATAGACCGGCGACCGTCGTATCGTACGCAGCCGGAGCCTCTCTCGCTGCTGTCGCGCTCATCTATGTGTTTGGCCCGACATTTACGCTCGACGATGACGCCAACTCGTCCCGCAAGAAGACCATAGTTGGCCTGCGCAACCAGGCCAATGACTGCTTCATCAACTCGGTCCTCCAAGTCCTCGCCGGCCTCGACGACCTGCGAATCTACCTCATCCGCGAGACCCACCGCCGGCGCATCGAGAACCCGGGCGTCTACACCTTTGTTGTCCAGCCGGATGGAAAGAAGGTGCCCGAATGGAAGTTACAAGGGCTTCAGGAGGGTTTGGTGACCCAAGGATTGAAGGAGATGCTGGATGCGCTGAATGAGCGGCCCATCTACAAAAAGTCAATCTCCCCCTTCCCCATTGTGCGTGTCCTTGAGATGGCGTTCAGGCAAAAGATCAGTCGGCAGCAGCAGGATGCGCAGGAATTTTTACAGATTGTGGCTGAGAGGCTCAAGGACGAGTATCATGCCGGTAGGCGGGCGCGAATGCACACACGCCGCTATGGCTTGACGCCGAGTCCGTCCACCGTGGAGCTGAAGGCGGCTGCAGAAAAGAGTGGCTCGGACGCCGCCAACGGAACTGAGGGCGAGAGCGAGGGAGATGAAAAGGCCGGGACCGAAGAGCAGCCCAAGACCACGAATGGATCCAGCAGCAATTCAAGCCTTGAAACGCCGGGAGACGAGCCTGTCCTCGTCCCTCTGGAGCTCGAAGATAACTTCCCAATGGAAGGTAAATACGAATCGCAATTACAGTGTCTGACTTGTCGATACAAGTCGAAGCCGAGGGAGGAGACGTTTTGCACACTTACTTTGGCGGTGCCGCAGGTATCCTCTACATCGCTAAATAGCTGTTTTGATGGAATATTCAAGACGGAGCATATTGACGATTTCAAGTGTGAGAACTGCAGGCTGCTCCAAACGAGGACGAATCTTGAGCATGATATGGCAAAGTCCACATCTGAGGGTTTTAAGGCACAGGCGAAAGAAAGCATCGACAAGCTCACAGAGGCGATTGAAACAGATCCCGAGAGACCTCCGGAGGACGTGGAGCTCAGCGATATCCGGTTCGCGCCGAAGCGGAGGATTGCAAAGACGACACGCATGACTACGTTTCCCAAGATTCTGGCGCTGCATCTCTCTCGATCCATTTATGGAGTCGGCCAGATGACCCAGAAGAACTCGGCCAAGGTTTCGTTCCCCGAGCATTTATCTTTGGGAGGATTGGCCCAGCAGCACAAATACAAGCTACTGGGAGTGGTGACACATAGAGGCGGACACAACAGTGGGCACTACGAAGCGTTCAGACGCCAGAATCAGCCACGGCCCCCGTTCGCCAATATCAATACGTTCCAGCCTTCAGAGGTCTACAGCAAAACTCCCACGCCGGCGGCGACCCCGAAAATTCTGGCAAAGCGGGTGGCGGCCAGCCCTGCAGTGTCCACCCCTGATCTACTTTCCTCGTCGTCCCTGAACAACTCGTCCCTGAACAACTCGTCCCTGAACAACTCGTCCCTGAACAACTCGTCTACCCCTTCATTGGAATCGATGGTCGCAGCAGCACCGCGTAGCGCACCGCAGGAGCCGGCACTAGCCGTAGCAGCAAATGGCAAGGATGGGTCAGACAAGGAAAGGGATGGTGATGCGAGCAGCATCCGTTCGGCAATGGCGTCCACCAAATCCGCGCTCTCGAGAATTGCCTCCCCTAAATCAAAGGACGACGGTGGGTTGCTGTCGCCGAGGTCCGGAATCCAGCCCCCACGGAGACGTAAGCACGGTCCCGAGAAGTGGTGGCGTGTGAGCGACGAGAAGGTGCGGGAGTCG